GGAAAAGTGTGGCAGAAAACGCTGCACAACGAGAAGAGGTGACCGGACCCTGAGGAGGATTGTGGAAAAGGGCCGATTCCAGACCTTGGGGGACCTGCGGAAGCAGTGGACTGAGTCTGGAGTAGAAACATCCAGAGCCACCGTGCACAGGCGTGTGCAGGAAATGGGCTACAGGTGCCGCATTCCCCAAGTCAAGCCACTTTTGAACCAGAAACAGCGGCTGAAGCGCCTGACCTGGGCTACAGAGAAGCAGCACTGGACTGTTGCTCAGTGGTCCAAAGTACTTTTTTCGGATGAAAGCAAATTTTGCATGTCATTCGGAAATCAAGGTGCCAGAGTCTGGAGGAAGACTGGGGAGAAGGAAATGCCAAAATGCCAGAAGTCCAGTGTGAAGCACCCACAGTCAGTGATGGTCTGGGGTGTCATGTCATCTGCTGGTGTTGGTCCACTGTGTTTTATCAAGCGCAGGGTCAATGCAGCAGCTATCAGGAGATTTTGGAGCACTTCATGCTTCCATCTGCTGAAAAGCTTTATGGCACATGTGTCAAACTCAAGGCCCGCGGGCCAGATGTGGCCCGCCATGTCATTTTATGTGGCCCGCGAGAGCTTAAACGTTTTGAGTGTCTAAAAATAAATACCAAAAAAATAAATTAAGAGCGTGCTTTGACCAAAAACTACATTTCCCACAATGCCTTTCTACCTCGGTAGCCGCGGCAGTGTTTCCACATCCATGCCAACGAGTGGAATTGAGATATAAATAATGATCCCAAAATGTCCAGAAAGAGAAAAGTTGATGCAGACGGAAGACTGTTTCAAGAAAGATGGGAAGGCGAATACTTGCTTGTGCTTCAAGGAGAAAGGCCAGTATGTCTTTTGTGTTACGAGGCGGTGTCGGTTGTCAAAGAGTACAATCTGCGTCGACATTTTGACACCAAACACGGAGCTAAGTACGCTAAAGCTAGCCTTCAAGAAAAGCAACAAACTGCCCAAGAATTAAAAGGCAAACTGCGGTCGCAGCAGAGTTTGTTCACGAAATCCACAGCCAAAAACGAGGCCGCAGTGAAAGCTAGCTTCATTGTGGCTGAAGAAATCGCCCACGCTTCCAAGTCTTTTTCAGAGGGAGCGTTTTTGAAGCAGTGCGTGCTGAAGGTCTGTGAGCAGGTGTGTCCCGACCAGTTACAGACTTTTAAAAATGTCAGTTTATCAAGAAACACCATCGCGAACAGAGTGAAGGAACTTGCAGAAAATCTTCCAACACAGCTGACCGAGGAGACACACAGCTACACAGCTTTTTCATTAGCTGTTGATGAAAGCACAGATAACACAGACACAGCGCAGTTATCAATTTTTATTAGAGGCGTAAAGTCGGACCTCTCTATCACTGAGGAGCTGTTGGATGTGGCTGCAATGCATGGGACCACGACGGGACAGGACATTTTTGATGCGGTGGAGAAGTCCATAAGTAAAAATGCATTGCAGTGGGAAAACTTGGTGGGATTAACTACAGACGGTGAACCGGCAATGTGTGGAGGAAAAGTGGGCTTGGTTGGACTAATGAAGAGGAAAATGCAAAAAATGAACTGTCACACGCCTCTGATAACGTATCATTGCATTATCCATCAAGAAGCTTTGTGTGGGAAGGTGCTGGGGATGGAGGACATTGTGACCACAGTCATGAAAACAGTGAACTTCATTAGGGCGCGTGGCCTGAATCACCGTCAGTTCCAGCAGTTTTTGCTGGAGATGGGCTCGGAACACGGGGATGTGCCGTACTATACAGAAGTGCGGTGGCTGAGTAGGAGCAAAGTCCTCAAGCGATTTTTTGAGCTCAGGGAAGACATTGCTCTTTTTATTCAGAGTAAAGGAAAACTCATGTCTGAACTATCAGATCCAAAGTGGCTGTGTGACTTTGCTGTGTTGTGTGACATAACCGACCATCTCGCCCAGCTGAATCAGAAGCTGCAGGGACGCAAACAAGTCATCACGCAGATGTCCGACACAATCACGGCTTTCTAGCGTAAATTGGACTTATGGATGCGGCAAGTGGAACAGGACAATCTTGTCCACTTTCCTGTTTGTCAGAGCATGTCAGCCTCGTTTTCCGGGACTTTTTCATGTGCTCAGTTAGTTACCAAACTGAGCTGGTTAAAGACTGAGTTTGATCGGCGCTTCTGACTTCAGAGCACAACAGTCTGGCTTTGACATCTTTGCCAATCCTTTCACCACCGATGTCTGCACTGCACCCCAACACCTTCAGATGGAGCTAATTGAGCTTCAAAGCGACAGTGGCCTGAGAGCAAAGTTCCAGGATGCTGCAATCCAGGACTTTTACCGTCTGATGCCCCCAGGTTTGATGCCACAGCTTTGACTTCATGCTGCCCGTGTTCTGTCCATGTTTGGAAGCACCTATCTGTGCCAACAGTTTTTTTCCATAATGAATCTGAACAAAAACAAGCACAGATCACGCCTCACGGATGACAACCTCCATGCTGTTCTACGCATTGCCTCAGCACAGGACCTAAAGCCAGACATTGACACACTGGCAACGGGAAAACTGTGTCAGACATCTGGTCAGAAAAACACAGGTTAGCATTTTTTTTGAAA